TTATTCAACATCTGTTTTTTTCAAAATTAAAAAAGTGGATGTAAATTCAAATCCTATAATTTTTATTATTTTTTCCAGTTCCTCCTTCCTAAGGTTAAATAATATAAAAATGGCAAAAATAAAAAGTGCATGACTGTATGCACACTTATTCGGAATGACTTTATTTAAAATATTTATTTTTTGACTTATAATTTTTAACATGAAACTTTAAAGTTATGTTTTATTATATGTATGAACAATTGTATTCTTTTTAATATTTTAAACGTAAATAACTTTATCTTATTTTAATTAAATATAAAAAGCTGTTTAAAATACTCTCTTAACATATTTTTACAATCAAACACATAAGTAAAAGATTATAAATATGAAAACAAAAATATAACATAGAGGTAAAAAACAAGAATTTGAAAAAATGCTTTATCAACTTAAAATCAAATGAACATTGTTTTCCTATTGGTATGTTCAACACTTACAATCTCAGAATATGCATTTATTGATCAAAGTAATTTCTATGTAGGAGTTGAAATTGGGAAGTGTGTCAAATCACAAAAAAATACTTTTAGTCGATTCGAATTAATGCTACAGCCAAAAACAATTTAACTTTTTATTCGGGAAACAATTGAAATTCAATGACAGAAGATCCACAAGGTGCAATTAATTTTTCTTTGGTGAAAGATTTACCTCCACAGTTATATCAGAGCGAAATTTACTTTGCTGAAACTTGTTCATATCCAAAAGAATATGAACCACTTATTACACGTTTTAAACCAGGATGTGTAAAAGCTCGTAATACAGAAAATACTTATGCGAAAGGATTTATCAATAAAGAAGAAGTAATCGTGTCATTATATAACAATGATAAATGTGAAGGAGTAGGCGAAAAAACAATAAATATAAAATTAAATGAATGTGAAGTGAGTGGAAATACTCGAACAATTAATCGCATCATTCAACCATCCTCTGCAATTGGAGCTTTTATTTTTCTTTCTCTTATTGTTTCGATTCTGCTTTAATACAATTATTTTATCAAAATTTGTGTTAATTATTAATATTTAACTTTAATAAAAAATAAAGATTATTTTTTTTAATAAAAACATATTTTAAACATAACTATTTTT